AAATTTATATCACATATTTATATGATATGATAATATATTAAATTAAATAAAAATCTTCAGAGACACAATTACAATTACTAGTCTTTGATTTTTAGAATTGCAGTAGTTTCACTTTAAAATCGCTTTTCAATATTTTCGAATTAGATAGATCTTAGTTAATTAAATTTCTATATTTTACCCTCTTAACGTATTATACAGATTCAGATTACAGAGACTGCAAAATCTTGGTCATTGTAAAAATATATTGCGTAATATTTCATACAATAATTATCGGGCTACAAAAATGTAATAAAACTATTACCTATAGAAAATGCTATAAAAATTAAAAATGTTGTACCAAGAACGCTTTATAATATTAATAACAAACATTTTTGTGTCAACTAAAAAATTTAACTTTCATCGCATAAAACTATAAAAGGATTTCAGTTAATTTTCAGTGGCTCATAGTATGAGTTGTAAACAAAGTATGCATTTTTACATGGCTACATATTAAAAAAAATACAATAGCAATATTCTTTATTAATGATGTCTAAGCCTTTTGAAAAAAAAATAATGATAAAATAGTTTATAATATTAAACAGGACAATGCTTTTTTTAATAACATAATAATTATTTAATGCTATCAGAAAAAATGAATCAGATCATTTATAGGTACCGAGTAGCGATCAAACTCTAAAATATGAAAATGAAATGTATTCAAACAAATACTATAGACTGTGTCGCGTACACATTGTATTATTTTATTAAACGGTGGTTGTAGTATATACTAAAATAGAAGATTAAGCTTACACAATCAATGTGGACGCCAGTTGCACACCAAGTTTGAAAATTATCGGTGCACCATAAAGGAAAACCCTTCTGGGATTTAATTTGTATTGTAGCTTTTGTTTGAAAACACTAAAACAATCCCCTTTGACTTATTGAACTTGTTAGTATAATATTAAGTTTTCTTTGGTCAAATATCTAAGCGCCCAAGCCACACGAGCAGGAAAACGAAAAGAAAAGCAATAAAACTAAGTGCTTTTTCCTCGTTTCGAAGTGGACGAATAATATTTGGGCACCTTTCAATTTTTCCACGGAAAAGTTTTATGAAAAATGTGTGTGTACATTGCACGGCGCAGCAATAATAAGTGGAACAGAAAACCGAATGGAAATTAAAACATTTTATATTCAACAGTTCCTTGATTTGGTTTTCAATTTTTGGATTCTTTCGTCTTAGTGGTTTTGTTGAGTGTTGATCGGCATATTTTACTGATTCAAATTAAATAACTCAATACAGTTTGTAGAATAAAGTAAATTGCCTATAATGACATAATATGTACTAATTAGTGATAACTAGGACTAGGATTTCTATGCATTTGCATTTTGAAGGTTTTTCACCTTGAGTTCAAATTGATTGGTTTTCAGATATATCCTCGATTTCCATCCTTCTCGATCAAAAAGAACAACTTATTTTTGTGCATATTTTGAACATAATACATCCTATTGCTGAATTTGATTTTTGAAATCATATGAATTTTAAATATTAATATTAATTAACTTTATAATTATTGAATTATTTTTAAAATTATCGTGAATTTACCATCTAATCTTAGTCAGACGACCGATAGGATTACCTATAAGTACATTATTTTTGTTTTTCATTTGTACAATAAAATTCAGCCGATATAAATCCATCCATCACTTGTCGTTCGTGTTTCGAAATTTGAAAGAACATTTCATTACAGGAATATTCAATGTAATTATAACTGCTTATAATAAAAAATAAATAATTATTAATTAGTAGGAAGTTTCTTTTTAAATCAGTTTCTGATTTTTATGTAAAAATATGTTATGTTATGTGGAAATAAAAAAAACTGTTTTTGCATATTTTTGCATATTTTGGTGAACAACATGCATATTTTGCAATTTCTTATTGCATATATATCGTAGCCCCAGTGATTACTGTACTCTGTTGTGGTTTTAAGTGTCTTATATTATAAAATGGTATAAACCGATTAATCTTAAAATGCATTCATCCTATACTAATGTGATAGTTTATATTCCTACTTTCGGAGCACTTATGCTTAAGCATTTTAAATATTGTATTTTTTTTGAAACGGTTAAATGTTTTGATATAAATAATATGCACATTGTTTTAAACTGGAGTATGCAAATCATTTGATGATATTATAGTAAGGGCAAGTACTTTTGAAAATATTGAACCGTAATGCTGTTAAATAAATTATTACCTACACGTTATTTTTAAAACAAATAAAATGCCAACATTTATCTCTATATAATTTTCTGTAGTAAATGTTAACAGCACAGAACTAATTTCAAACTACGCTGTGCATTAGTAGTTCAAAACATGCCATTAACAGATTGTTGTCAACTTTAACTGACGTCCGAGTTATGTAACAATGAGAGATTAATCTATAATAATATGTTTAATGTTACTTTTGGAAAAATGTTTCTGTTGAAATTGTTTGGTAAATATTCTATAGGATAGAGTTTGGCTCGATTACTCTAATCGTACCTAACCTTTCTAAATTTTAATTTGGTAGGTGTTTAATAATTACTATAATTTATTAAATTATAATAGGTATTTTTCTTTCAACAAAAATGTAAAAAAAAAAATCAACAATGTGTAAAACAATGTGATACTAGAAGTAATTATAATGATAAATAATTATAAAAAGTAAAAGTAAAAGGAAATGCCTCATATTTTAATTAATTATGTATTAATTTAATTTTAAAAAATCCAGTTGCGTTTTAGCCGGCGAGAGGGTTTCACTACTCACCAGAAATAGAATAAGAGAGTCCTTATTTTTTTATTTAAAATTTGGCGAAACTATTTTTCAGAGCTTAAACTTTTTTCAAAATAATTTTTTTGAATGCCTATAGGATTGGCTTAATCTTTATCACAATTAGTGCAATGTTTAGGTATGCTCGTAAAACTATGCGGTAGTGGCTTGATTAGATTTGTGAGTTATGTAGTGCTATTAGTAAGGTGAAAATAGTTGGAGTCAAAAAGATAAATGCACATAATATGAATTTACCTGCATTCCTAAAGGGTGTTAATGAACACCTAAAGTTCCTCCACAAATTAATTATGCTCAATATAGTAAAATGTTAATAGCATTACTATAATTATACTTGTGGGCAAAACGAAAACAGTTTTAGTAGTATATTGTATGCATTGTCCGTGGATATTGAAATTACTAATCTCAATCAGCACTCGTACACTACGAATCATTTATTGATGTGATAGTTATCGCCTAACTGTTAAAAACTAAAAACTAAACTGATTCGAACTTTTGACTGTTGGACAAATTACAATTAATCTACTCTTATCCAATGTAATAAAAGCTTATCAAATGTACGTCAAAACATGAATGGACGTTTTCTTATAGTTTAATCATACGGACAACTAACAGTTATTTAAAATATATCGTACTCGTATAATAGGTTTTAGAATAGTTAACTCAGTATTATACTGTGCTTTAAAACACTTTCAAAAATATTAATCTCAAGATAAAGTAATTTTATTTTCTTCTTGTTTAATTATCTACATATTTACGTTAAACGGAGTAGGTACTCGTATACTAATTATATAAAATTAATAGCGTTTATAGTTATTAGGTACTAATTAAGTAGGCCTTTATTTGAAGATCTGCAAATCACTCAAAGTAAGTAGGGGATTGTAATTTTTATTGGGTACCTACTGTTCGTAGTATTTTTTGTCTACAAATTAAAATATATTTTAAAATATTTGCTTTATTTAGAGTATTACATAACTAACAAGGATATTCAATTTTAGAAAAAAATATTGAACAATTATTTCATGGACAAAGTGTATAATTATTAGGAATAGTAAAGTATTTGGTATTATGCTGAGTATGAATTTTTATAATAGGGTACATAAATTCGTGTATAAATCGCTGTGTTATGGGTGAAATAATAAATTTGTAAGTTTCATTCGAATTATGTTTTATTGATTTAAGGACGAGTGATTAAACCTCGCCAACACGTGCTGGTGATATGGAACAAGAACTTTATGATCAAAACATCTGCGCTACGTAAGTAGGTAATTAACGAACTTTCCGCGTACCTCTCTAGTCTTTACCGTCTTAACATTCTCAACACTGGTATTTAGAAGGGCTGAACTTTAGAGGCAATCAAGTTTTCCGGAAATTGCGCAAAACCGCACCATGCACCTACCCTTGGTGGAGTAGATTGACGGCTATAAAAATAACTACATATTTCGAGGGGAAAATACTCGACACTTTTATTTTCCGTGACCATCGTCCGATCTTCCCTCGTGAATTAAACGTGTCCCCGAATCGAAGAAATTTCAAACAAAATGGAACTCTTTAATAGTTTAGTCTACGTAAAGTTCATCAATGTTTATAGTTTTTAAAATATTGTATCCCTAAAAGTAGATACTTTTCTAAAGATTATATTATTCAACAGTTTAAGATCGTGTCAATGTATAATAATAAAATGTCATGCACGAATTTCGTAGATACGATTTTAATAGAGACTAAATAAAATAAAGTATTAATTATCTTACATAATCTCGAAAGCAATTTGTAGAGCACATTATAATCACTTTTAAAATTCACCGAGAGGGTGGGGGATCTGTTTGGCTGTTCAGTGTTAATCATTCGGCCACTGTTGTTGTAGTTATATGCTAACCAGTTTGGAGCACACAAAGTTATATTAAACAAAAAATTAAAAACAGTATAATATCCATAGTAATAGGCCAATGAAGCAAATGAGCTGAGGCAGCACATTGTTTAGTTACATTTAAGCACCTAAGCAGCAGGAGGGCTGTGCGGGTCCTCCAGCGAGACCCGTATGTTTGATGGTGTCTGATATTTTTGTGTTTGTTTCTAATAACAAGAGGGAATTCAAATAGTTGTGGAATATTATATTTTTTGGTACCTTTCGAAAGATAGGTGTACCTGTACGACACGGTGATTAAAAAACATAAAAATAGGCGTAAGGTTAATTACCTGAAAACCGTCGTATGTCCACGAACCGAATTTCATCACACACGTCTGTTCATCGAACGGGAAAAATTCTACATCTATTTCGCAGGAAGACTTGTAAATAGCTGGAGGTTTCCACTCGACCCGACCACTGTAGTGGAGCATAGCCTTAGTGGCCAACGTTACTTCGAAATTGCCGTCGGCACTGCGAAAAAATAATATAACACGCAGAGTTAATCGAATAAATATAATTATGCGTTTCCGTATAGTTGCAAAAACAATTACTTGTTATAGAGAACAATATCTGGCCTCCAGACGTGTTCAGACGGTACGTGTAACCCTTCGACGCCACCGTACTCGTCAGGATTCCACGTCAACTTATAGTCGTACCAATACTTGAAAAATAAAATAAACATTATGTTTGGTCATATTGTGGTTAACAATCATAATAAATAGTGTGTCAAGTGTAGTGCACTGTATTATATTTAATGCAAACAAATGAGTTATGACATATTTTGTTTTTTTTTTTTTAAACAATTAACACTTTTTTACGAGACCTATAGTAATTGTACATTGGTCAGCGGTCATTGTGCGGCTCTGTATACAACTGATTTAGTTTAATTTTAATTTATATAGGTACGAAAAAAAAAAATACAATACAAATTGTCTACATAGGCTTATAAGTATATTATACCGAAGACACGGTATGATGCGAGATTGACCTTGTCGCGTCATTACTCGTCATAAAATATTATGATATTTATAAACTAAAAGTAAATATTATTAATGTAGCGGAGAATTGTAAAATTAGTAAATTTAAATTCACGTCAAACTTATAACTTTATAAGAAACAAGTCTAGAACAAGGATTACATGGTCCTCGGGAATGCTTGATTTTTAATTTAAAAGGAATAATAAATCATTGCACTTGAAAAACGGTTTTGGGTCAATCATGGTTTAGTATAGAGTTCATAAAAAGATTTTAAAATGTCAAATGCTCATAAAAATAACTTACAAGTAGATTTGAATATATTCAATTGCCTACTTATAAGTTTATATAAATACGACACAGAGAGAAATTTTGTATTCAAATGCAGTCAAATCATATTTACCAAAGACTTCAAGTTCCAAAATGTTAACGTGATTTCAAAACATTTATTTAAAAAAAAATCCGTTTTTATAAATGCAAAAGATTCAGGATCTAAAATAATGATATAATTTAATTCTTTCGTTTTATTGATTTTTTTTAATGTATTTGCTTAATGATAAATTACGATGAGTTATTTTGTCCTCACCTGTTCCACCCATAAGTTCGTCGTCATAATTTGGTTTTTAAGGTTCTGTAACAGAAAGGTAAATAATATATTAAATTAGCACCCAAAAGGTAATGTCTAAGTGTTAATTGTGTTTAAACAAAATTTAAATATTGAATGTTGACTAAACACAAATATTAATAATTTTGTTCAAACAAAACTTAAAGTAGGTAACTATTAAATACGTAATTTGTATTACTGTATATTGTTTACAAAACCAAATAAAATATAATTACTTAGCACTAATTAATTATTTAAACAAATGTTTATTTTTTAATAAATAATAGTAAAATAAACCATAATACATTTTATAAATTTTAAAATCACTGTCAAATATGTAGTCATGAGTGGCATTATGTATTACCAATTTATTTATATTTATTATAATTCATAAAATCCTACCCTGTTGAGTATATTCACATTGTTCTCAATATTCGGTCGTTCTCATAATTTTTGAGACAGTTTTGCAGAAATTACTCAAAACAAAACCTCGGTCAATTGTTTATTTGTTTACCTATACAAATTGATATACAAATCATTCCATACTGAATTAATAGTGCAATTGTATGTATATATTATTATATTTTTTAATATATAACTGAGAATTGTCATTAGCAGCTAAAAAATAGCTACAATATCTGTCCTTTATTATACAATATTATATTAAGAACACATTTATAATAGCTTAAGATAAAATATAAAAATTGCAATGAAAAAGGTAGTTTTATATTTAACTGCGCATAATACTCTAACGAGCAATGATTATCTATACAGCAGTAATATTAATTCTAATATTTCTTTCGTGGTTCGGTATAATTTAGTTTTTAAAGATATTTGAGATTTTGGAATTTTCCACTATCACGTGTCACATGGCAGTCATCACTTCGTCAGGTATATTATATGTAAGTACTTAGCGATGTTGTTATAATGTGTATATAATGTGCGTAAGTATATAAATGAAAATATCGATTACGTAGCCCATTGTCGACTTATCTTCGTCAGTTCGTCACGGCCAACAGTATATGCAATTTCCTTTCAACGGGCTCAATGAAAAATCAAAAGTTCGTGGAAGTATTTTTCATTTTTCAACAGGAACTGCTTACATAACGTAATCGGGATGTCAACATATGAGATGGCTTCTAAAATGAAACTTGAAGAGCAACTTAAATTGTAAACATAAAAGCTATTATACTGCCTACGTATTTGTTATCATATAGGTATAACCACATAATATAATAGCCATACAGATATATCATGTCAGTGACATCGGATAACTCTGTTTATAGCAGAATAATATTCAATTCAAAGTACATTATATAATATTGTATTATATTATGCACTATGTTTTTCAAACAAGATATTTAGTTATTAACCATCGTAACTTCTGACTTTTCAACAGTATTTATCTCACGAAATTATAAAAATGATGTACCTACTAAATGCGTATGAATCATTTATCAATAATTATAGGGAACAATATTGCCCAACGTGATAACCGTGAGTAGACATCCAGGCGTTGCTTGGGCACTCGTCACGCTTAGTCCAACTCGAAGCATGCGATAATGATGATGTGTTGTGATATTACATTTGTATGCAAACAATGTATTATAATCACATTTTGGAAACGATTCCAACGCGTCTAATACACAGTCTGTTAATATTTTTTGACGTTTGTAGTTTGTTTCATACGTTAATAAAAACTACTGAGAAAAGATAAAATATAAAATAGTCAGAGTAGGTACCAGTTACATTTGATTTGCGACATTTCTAATAAGTGCTTCAACACTTCTCCTTCTGCGCGAAAAATTATTCACAGAAAAATATAATTATAAAGAACAGTTAAAATCCATTAATATATGTATAATATTGAATATTCATCGTTTATGGTCATCGACAAAATTGACAAAATGTTATTGCAGTTATAAAATACAATGTTATAGTGGGTAAAGTTTTTCGAGATATAAACATGACCTAAGAAAAAGTTTGTTTGGTATTAACATTTTACAATATTGCATCTTTAAGGTTTTATTTTACTCTGAAACAGGTTTTAATCTATACATTGTATTACGTAATAACGTTTAACCAATATTTACTAATTCATATTCTTTACAAACAGTAAACGAGTGGTAGAAAAGGATTTGTTTGGTAAAAAACAAATAATATAGATATTCATTTAATTTAGATTTTATATTAAAATATTAAACATTTAGAGAATATTAGATACCTACAGCATCTTGACACTAATAGTTCGTAGATTAATAAAGTGTAATAATGGTTTACATGGTTTAGTGTAATAAGTTTATAACTTATAAGTATCACAAAAAATTCTATAATATAATGCTATGAATATTACCATAGTTTATTAAATATATCTTAGTAGAACAAATTCATTCTTAAATAATTTAAACCAGACATTGAATATTTTAAATTCTTTATCAATTACATTTACTATCTAGATATCTAGTGATCTTAAATTAATTTGAAATTTCGATGAAAGATATATTTCAAGAATTTCGGAAGAGTACATAGTAACTATTAGTAAAATAATAGAAGTAGGTTCACTTTTACAATGATATAATATAAATATTAAAATGTATAATGATATATTGTAATGTAAATTATTTTTAAGAGTGAAAGTTAATGATAAATCGTGATGAATAATTGGTGAATGAGAAATTGTCGGTAATAATTTTTATATAAATAGATGAAAAGCATAAGACAAATTACTATTTTTCTGTTATATAGTAAATTGTTGGTTTTAAACAATTTATTATTCAATCATAAAAAATTTCGTAGGTCAATAAATTATTCACTCTTTCCGAGGCGTTTGTCCAACATATTATATTGACATTGTTACTGCATCATATCATTGAATTACGCCTGTCAATTGTCGTGGAAAATAACAGAGGTTTATCATTAGTTTGGAATCAGTTTGGAGACTCGACAATACACAATTAGTCGTAGTTATAGATTACTTCAGTTATAACCATTGGACCGTATTATAGACCGTAAAATAGAATTGTCGTAAAGATTTCGATGTCGTACTTTAATGCAAATTTATATATTTAAGATCGCAATTAACAACAGTACCTAGTACCTATGGAGTAACCTATATTTAGGTACTTTATTATTTTTAGGTACCTTTCTACTTGGATTGAGAAAATTAAGATCTTCAATGATATTCTTAAAGTAGGTGCGGTAGAGTGATCCTGGTACTTTTTATGTGTAGGTACTCCTTTCAATCATTCATAATTTTATTCGCATAAGGTCATTCCTCTCAGACACCCAGTCGTTTTAAAACTAAATTTAATTTACGGTAAGACTGTACAAAGTATGTTGTAAAATAATTGTTGATAACAATAATTTTCTTTGACATTGTGTCAAAAATATTTTAAACCAAATAAATAAATGTCCAAATAAATATGTTATGAGTTTATGACGTCTTTGTTTCAAGAAAAGTTTTGACAGTGTTAAAGAAGCCCATAAATAAAATATTATCTTTTTAATAATTAAGTGATGTAGTTTCAAGACTGTAAGAAAAGACTACTACCTATATAATCACCTAATCCTTAAAAAAAGAGATCACGAAAAAAAACTATTTTTACCAAATAAAAACACAAAACTTATTAAGACAAATAAGCCATACAAAGTAAGCAAAGTTTTTTTTTCTTGAAGTTCTTTCATTTAATTTCTTTATAAACAACAATCTGATACTCCGATGGTAAATTTATATCAACAATAACAATAGGTACCTTAAATTGCCTAAATAAAAATAATTAAGCCTATATGAATTAGTTTTAATATAATTAATATAAATAATAAATTAATGAAATTAATAATGATGATTAATCTTGGTTTTTAAAAAAAAAAATCAAACAAAATACATACAATATACGCATCTTAGAAAATGTATACAACTATAATGAAAAATATTATATTAATTAATTTTTTGGTTATAATACATATTTTTGATTTTACTTGAAACTTTTAGTTATTAAAATAATTTCCCCTTTCAAATACGAAAATTTATCAAAATTAATTGTTTATTGAAAAATTAATGTTGAAATATTGAATAAATTATGCACTATATTATATATAACCTTATGAAGCTATTCAAAACTTTTAACGAATACCTTAAAAAATATCGAACAAAGTTGAATACTTTATAAATATTTTTTAGTATTAAATGTACCTAATATCTAAATCAGTGATTCACAAACTTATTTTGTTCGCTTCACGTTATTTTCTCAGCTACTCAAAGTTTTATAATTGAACCGATAATTATTTGGTAGTTTTCAGTAAAAAATACAGTGGAGTAATAATAGACGTGAAAATAACAAACGCTGCAGATCAAATGGACATGAGTTACAAATCTGTGATTTTGTTTATACCTGATTCTTAATTCGTCTCTCTAAATAGTTATATCATAGAGTAATAATATAATATGCTATATTAGTGTAAGTATTTAAAATATTTATCTTTTCATTAATAATTGTAATATTATTTAATACCTTCCATGTTTATGGTCCTAATAAAGTTAAAATTTTAAATCACAGCTTTTGGAAAAAACTTATATTTTCGTTCTTATTTTAGTTCACATAGTAAAGCATCTGGTAACTAGAAGGAACTTCAAAACTTCGTTACAACACAGATAATAAATATCTAGTTTAATTCATTAATCGATAGATATTTTTCAATTATTGATTAAAATCGAAAGTGTTCATGAAAATTCATGTAAAATGTTTAAAAACGAAAAGTTTATTATATAACGTTTCTAAAAATATTTATTTTATCTAATAAAAACTCATATATTTTTTAAGCTCTGCGAGAAGCGAGAGAAATATTTTTAAAATGTTTCTAGTCATTATAAACATCGTTCAAAAGTTATTTATTATATGTTGTTACACATTCTTATCAGAGATGGGGACGTAATGATTTTATATTGTTAATAGTTTCGTTGTTGTCTTTGTTTATAAACATGTAAACAGTAGTATAAGCGTTATCGAATTTTGTCAAAACATTGTCGTATGTGATGCGATTGGTATTTCATAATTTATATGAAGCCACAATCTAGGTTAGGTAAAAGTGATTAACTCAAGTCCAAAATATAGCTTTATAAAAATTTAGTCAAGTTAAACGTTTTAAAAGACGTCGTAACACTCGTACCTGCATATGTTGCATAATATGTTGCCCGCGTCTTACTAAAGCATAATTTACTAACACTTGCGTCCTTCAGTTCCAATTTTGTATTGTTAGCTTAAATATTAAATTGAATTGATATACTAAAAAACTTAAATTTAAGAACATTGTCTGTGCTCACTCGTCAGTGTTTTACGATATTTTAATTTTTAGGGAATTATGAGCATTTTCAAACGCTAATATTTTACGTAGGTACTCCACAACTCGTTAAAAATTTAAATATCATAAAAAAATACGAGGGAACACAGAATAGATAATGTTCTTACATTTAAGTTTAATAATTGTTCAATTCACTCTAATGTTTAAGCTAACAACACAAAATTGGAACTTAAGTTGAAACGTACAGTTTGATATATCAATAGGTATGCGTTAGGAAGACGGAGGCACACATGCGGATATGACATACTCCTATATGTAAGGGTGAATTGATTAACTCAGGATAAAACCAATAGGGATTTAAATGCAAATTATCAGCATGAAAACTATTTTAAACATGAACTACTCAATACTTTATTTGAGTGAGTTTTTGAATTTGTGCAGCGTAAAAAAACCAACAACAAACTTTACTCAGTAGTCAGTACTGGTAGTCTGGTAGTACTAATAGTAAAAGATTTTAGAGGGACCTACTGATTTCAATGATCAACAACTAAGAGCACGCGTGTGTTTCGTCATTTTATATTTTAGCCTAATATACCTACGTATACGTATAACAATATATATTATATACCCTAAGGCCTAGGTGCTGGGTATTTGATTAAAACTTTCTGGTATTCCATCAAAATTACAGCGTTGTATAAGTGGGTAGCATGTAGATATACCTACCCATATCATTTTACCAACCAAGCACGACATAACTAAGTAAAGCTAGGTTTTGCAGGGAACTGTCTAAACGCATAATTTGATTCGGGATTTTACAAAAAACGTTTTAGACAACACATGGCATGTACGAATCACGACAGTAAAATCTATTTAATCAATAACAGAAAATTGATATGGTTATCAAAAATTATAAACTAAGTTTTATATGCAAATGATAAACTTTTGTTTACCAACATAATTTCTTTTGCTTGAAAGTTATGACTAAACATTATTAAAACAAATCACTGATATTATATTTTATTTTAATTATTTTTAGGTATAAATAATAATAAGAAAAGAAAATGTGATATTTTTTACGTAAATACCAAAATACAGTAAGTACTATATTTTGGGACCTAACCTAACCTACTACATATGTGGTATATTGGATTGACGACACTTTTGTTTGTTTTGGTTTGTGCATTTTTTCTAGCAACCACACCTTAAAAATACCTTTCCAGTGCCCACAGATAAACGAAAGTTTAGCAACAGCTTTGACGTATGCTAGTTGTTGTTTTTGAATTTGTAACATACGATATGGAAATACATTTTTCTTCATATAAAGAAAATTGGTTTCTCCAGTTTCAAATAAAATATATCTGACACATTTTTATAAAAAGTTTCTAGAATAAATTATTATTTTTTAATCATAACAGAATCGATTATGTACACTGTACTTTTCTTTTTTTATCCATTTTATCGATATAATTTCAAACATAATTAAAGAAATTACACCACACATTACCCAATTACTTACCAGCTAGAATCTACAATAATTTCTTATCCATTGATGAAAGTTCGTAAAACTATTAGAAGACTCCTTATTATATGTGTATAAATTATTTATACAAAATGATAACAAACAATACTAACTAAGGAAATAAACTTTTAAAAAGATATAAAAGAAACAAAAAAACATTTTATCACTGTAAAACTAATATATCTTCATCGCTCATTTTGGTTTATCTCTCATAGCATAATTAGATAACTAATAAGTAATTAACTCCTTTCCTTTTAATGTTTTTAATCATCTACACTATAATAATATTCTATTAGCATTTAGCAAGTATTTATGCTTCTTACTGTCAACTGTTTCACATTTTTGTATAATATCTTACACTTAATGTTAAATGTCTCATATGCTATTTGTTGTACATCAATTTTTTTTTTTAAACGTATTATGTATACTTAAAAATGCAATTGCTTAGAAATTATCTCTATTTACAAATTATTATTCCATTTATTTTATGATATTTTAAAGGTTTAAAATATGTTTAGTTTATTGGTTGACAGAAATTAAATCTAAACAATACCTTACAACTTACAATAAATAAAAACAAATTGTTTTTTGGTAATTATCTATTTTTATTAAGTTATATAAATTCGTTTTTGTTCAGGACATTATTATAATATTTCACTCTAACTTTTTCTGTCAAATAAACCATAGTCTACTATTGTAGTCAAAAATATAATTTTGATTCTTCTTCTTCTTCTTCTTCTTCTTCTTCTTCTTCTCCTGTCTTTTTTATTGTTGTTATATTTCTAACAAATTGTTATATTCTTTTTTTAATATATTCGTTTTATTATCTGGATATTCTTCTATACATATATTTTAGTGTCTTAGTGTTTTTAATAATACAAAAAAAATAATCCATCATATGATTTATTTTTTTACTAACTGTACGTTAGTTCCCATAATTTTAGGAATTTTGTATTTGGATAAATAACTGTGACTAGACAAAATCATAACCATTATAATGAATAATAATATAAAATATTTAAACATTAGGTATGCGCCTATTTAATACTTATTTGATTTATCTCTCTTGACCTGTATTTAATATTAGTTGTACACATATTAAATAATACTATTTTATTGTTTCATTATAGATGTTCGTTTCACTCCAGTTTGTCAATTTGTTGAGTAATTTCAGTCTAGACCAATTGTTTTGATTGTGTTTTTTAGTTCACCATTAAACATGATCATATTTGGTTATTTTATTTATTAGCATGTAACTGTATCAAAATAAAAATTACATTTATTTTTTCAGACTCTGTACTAATATAAATTATAAAAATGCAGTTGTAGTTGTAATTTCAAATATGTATTCTTTTAGCTTTTGTTCACTATTTCTTACGAAGCATAAGAACAAACAGATTATGATGAAGTCGACTTTTAACTTGTAAGATAATTTCATTAAGTCTACAACCTTGAACCTTATACATTATGTTATTTACCATTGGTAATCGGTATAGTATTATCAATCGCATTGGCATTTTAGAATTCTACATTTTTTTTATAAACTATAATTATTAATTCATACGACCAAATACATACGATTACCTAGAATTATAGCTACAAAAGGTATTATTCAATGCAGGCTTAAAGTTTATTATATAATCATGGGAGGAATTAAATAAAAAACAAAATATTCTGATCAGGACAAGACCTACCACTACTTCCTATAGCTAAATATTTTAATACTTTTACTTTCTTAAACCCAGATATCGGTTTTTTTTCTGAAAATATTTTAACTCCTCCAAAGAATGTAATTAAAAAAACCATAAAAAAAAATCCATATATATAATATTGTGCTCTGTTTTGTCATTTTACCAAGCCTATAAACATAGTAAAGACTATAGGTATTCCTAATATCAAGAAAAGTTTTCAAAATGTGTAAGAAGGTCAAATTGGTTGTCGTAACTTACAATGTCGATGAGCTGTGATAGTTTGAGCTTAATCCGTACAGGTAGCGGATCAGTGTTGTTGAGCACAGGCCTTACGAGCTTGTTGTAATTTGATAAAAGGTCGTCGTACAGCCTTTTTGCATCCGGATTCATTGAACATCCTAGGACAATAATAAATTGATGATTGAAAGATGTTATGTTTAACACATAACAGAAAACCAATTTATATTTCATATAAGTAATAAGTATATAGCTACTCAGTTAAGTACATAGCTAATTATGAGTAGTAGTCGAGTAAATTACTACTCAAGTACTATTCGACGAACCTACAACTTAATAAGCTGCTTTTTTAATATTACAATTTTTATTAATGGTTGCCGTGTTATAAATTTTAATGACTTGAAAATAAATTTGTATAAAAGGAAATCAAATAGAGAGAATTGATTCTTATAAGTTATGATGATAATAATTAAAAATAATAGTACATCCCATTAAAAGTATAGTTAAAATATTAATTAAAATGTCACTATGTACATACAATATGAGAAACCCAAGCTGTTTAAAAAAAAAAAAAAAATACAAATAATTGACATCGATAACTTTACATTGAGTTAACTCGAGAAACAGAAAAATATGACCTAGTCACCTAGATTGTACCTACTGTGATTTATTAGTCATAAGTTATAAAAAATATAAAACTTTAATATTTAAATACTTTTTTTCCTTACTTCATAAAACTTTGAGTAGAGACCTATAGGTATACATTGTTTTCTTTAGTAATATATTCTTGATATTATAATATAATATAATATATTGTTACCTTGATTCTATCTACCCCCCAGACTTCACGAAATGAGAAATACGAAGAACGTGTGTTCTATTGTACACATGTCTTAAACAGAGACAGCAAAATATGTTGTGATGACAATCTGACATTCTCTTAATTAAAAATAAAACAAAAAATATACACTGCAGTAGTTTCAGATAGGTGCAAACGTTAATTAATGGCTGACACATTCTCGATACAGTCCTGTTTTACATTTATAGTGCTTCCTGAATTTCTGTAGCAATATTTGTTGACGGTTATCGGTAGTTTCCGATTGCATTTAAGGAAACGACCGAGGACACTGAATTATCATTTCAGTATCAAATATTTTGCAGGCATGGTTTCCAAACGATAAATTTAACTGCACATAATACGATGCTATGACTTAAACGAATGTCACAGGAAAAAAACTAATAGTCAAACAAAAAACACCATTGTAAAAGTAACATAAATCTCGTTTCGTTTGTACTTTAAAATATATTCCAATGTTAGGTGAAGCTCATAACGATTCGATTTCTGAAATAATCGACGAAATTTTAACTCAGCGTTGAAGAAAATGTTGAATAAATATAACCACAATAGATTCTCAACATAAAACAATGAAATAGTAAAAAAAAGTAGTAACGATGTATAATAATAATGTGAACATTTAAGAATTTCAACTGGACATTATTAACGTTGTACACTAAACGTACGGTCGACTAATATAGATTTTTATGTAAAAATATTCGTAAATTATAATAATTTGACAATAGTAATATTATTATGTTCTGGACATACACCATGCACGTATTATTATACCCATACGGGAAACAGGTGATTAGTGAACGAGTGCCTACTTAATGGATGCCTACTTACACGTACCTATAACACTTTTTATGTAGTGTATCGTTGGTATCAATTACACGGTATTCACCGTTACCGGTAACATATATGTCCGTGTCACTCGACACATCATGGGGTATAGAGTTACCCGCGGGTATCCGTATCGTTGACCAGAGAGAGCTGAAACGATGACTACACCGAAAGTATTGGAGTGGTATACACCGGGTGTCAGTATAAAGCAACGTTAAATATCGGTCGTCCAAAACGCCATTAGTCGTGAAACGACGGAACGAATATTATACACTGGAACGGGACGGTTCGATAAAATCCCTATGTTCGGCCAGCATCCCCTGACCCCGGGAACCGCCCACCCGATGGCGCGTTTATCTGGCCGAGAAAATTGTTTTTGGGATTGTCGTGTGTATATAGATACCGCTGCGCCGGCGGATTGAGTCCTCCAGAAATTCATTATGCCCCTTCCTTTTTGTAAAATCGTCTAGATTATTTTTCCACTCTCCCGACCGAAAAAAACCGAACAAAAGGTTCTCGTTGCGAGTTTCCTATTATATAAGCCGACTTCACGTATTACGATACACGCATCATTACCGAAATCTTTATTTATATTTTTTCGAAATGATTAAAATATAATAAATGGGTATTGTGTTGTTACCATAATTTTATCACTATCGACGTAAAAAATAAGACTTCTAGTTATATACACGTCGTCTATTAATAAATGATTTAACGTTTAACCAGTTAGAAATGAAATGTTTGCTAAAACAAAACATTCCTAACAATTGAAAATGTTATTTCCTTTTTGTACGTCGTTCATTTGTACCTATATATAAAATCTATCAACACTGCCTTAAATTATAACAAAATCTATCGTAAATCGTCTAGGATTTGAAGAGAACGCAAAAAGCCATAAACGTGTTTCCGTAGTAACGGATATTAATCATGTGATTAATGCTCTTTATGAAAGTAATATATACACGCCGAGAAATGTTACATGGTGATGATTCTGGCACTGGTGATGACAATGTTCGGTAAATAAATTATATGGTATATACTTTGTGGATCTAGTTTATATATTTAATATTTCCTAATCAAAATTTTAATTTTAATTGGAAAGTAGAGGTTGCATAGGAACAAATTTTACGAAATTTTATAATAATAAAGAGAAAATCATCGCCCTTTATTTAAAATATGTGACTAAATAGTAAATACAAACAATTTAACATGACATTTTATATATTATATCATACTTTTATGATTGCATATTCATATATAGATATTTTTTTATTTATTTATTTAATTAACTAAATGTTTTAACAAAATAATATCTAGATAATAATGAATTTATGTGAAACTCGGTGATACGTACATTACTATTTTTAAATAAAAATTCCCAAAGAATAAATAGGTCATGTATTTCATCTGTAAATTAAATATGCGGAATGACACCATTATATTTTCATTATATTTTATGGTTGGTATTTTAACTCCACTTCTCCACAACAGTCAAATATTAAAATAAGAAAACTGATAAGTACTTTACCACACAAATTGTCTGTTATAGTCTAACAAAAAATGATGAATTTAGTTGTAGTTTTGTAGTTATTTAAATTTTAGTCTAATATGATTTTATACTCTCCTATTATTGTATGGGTAAGATTTCAGTACATATTACATAGATATAGGTACTTTTATAACTTTAACATATAATACATTATAATATATAGAACGTTTCAATTATAATTTGTATTAACTATAGAATATAGTAGTATAAAATATGTGAAAATGTATTTCGATAAATTAAATTACATATTGATCAATATTGATAAAGGTTAATAACTTGTTAAGTGTAACACATAATGACATAACCTTATAAAATTATTGAATCATCACTATAACGACACTAAAAAGCACTTATAAGTATTTTATATTGTATTATATGAAGTCATAAACTGTATTGAATAATCAGACTTGCTGTTGGTTTTTAAATTTTTTGTTGTACTGAGAATTATCTACGAATATTATTTTAATCTTTATTATTTAAGCCTAACATATTTTCAAATTTAATAAACAGATTAGGGTTAAACACTTTATTTTTATGTTTAACGAATACACTTCATAGGATTAAATTAGATCGAATTCATAACAACTTTTGAAAAACTTTTATCAGTCCCTTAAATGTTTTATTCAAACAAATAGTTTTAAAATTAATATTAATAAGATATAATGTAATAGGTCGTAATAAAAATAACATACCTTTTGTTAAAACAAACAAATTTTTTCATTAACAAAATTAAATAAGCTCAACATTTTTATCAATAATACTTTTGTCAGTGCTCGGTTATTATTATTAAAATTAAAATTAAATTCATCGTTTGTTTGAAAGAAGGTATATTATTTCAGTTTCAAATAAAAATAATAAACTTATATTAGTTATTCCTTGAATAACAGAACGCAAATTATTCACAATTTTATTATTTAGTATTTTCATGGTATATTTTTATAAAATAAACTAGGTATCAATAACTGAATAATTGTATGACTAGTTTATTAATAATTTAAAACCTAATCTTATAATTAACTAAATTGTTGTTAAACATAAAAGTTGGAAGGTACTTGCAGTTAATCAACTACGTACCACATAACTTCGAGGATTAAGGTACTTTTTTATGAACAAAATTAATATTTGCATAACTTGTTGGACAGTACTGATTTTTTGGTATTTTAACTATATCTTATGTAAGTCGAACAAAATAATATTTAGCAGCCATAAATCTTAGTCGACAGGGTAAATTATTTTACTTACCGGAAATTATGACGAGCATGATGCATAGTATTATGGCGCCGGCCAACGTCTTCATTTTTCGGTGACCATATCAAAGGTCACAGCATGAGGTTGCACAATCGCATTTTTTCCTGAAACTTATAAATATAATAAATTAAATATATTTTATTTTGTTATAGGATCTAAAAATACATAATATGGAATTAAATATTTTATGCTTTTATAGAAAATATTATTTAGCTAAATATAAACTGCCGTTATTAAATTTCACGATTGTTTTTATACTAAAATCTTGAAGTTTCTAGTTCCAATATTGTAGTTGATTTTTTTTTATAAATTTGTAGAAAAAATAAAGCTAACGCAATACTTTATAATACAAGTATAGAATATTTACAAAAATCAAGTACTTATTCAGTGTAAATCACTTAATTGTTTTTAAGACACGTTAATCTATACAATGATCGACATATACATTTTTTCAAACAAATAACAATGGTAAGTGTTTTATCTAATTTTAATCAATTACTGACTATATAAATATATTATACATGATAAATCTCGCATGTTAGTCTTAAATATTTGATTTTTCATCATCAACAGCTATTTAGTAACTGAATGAAATACTTGATAGTTGATACTGTATAGAAACTACCTTTTTTTATTGGAGCATCTTAGTGTCCATTAAATTCGCATTACGGCTTTGTAAGGCTCATACTATATTGCAAATCGTTTGAAAAATGAGAAGGTAAACCATCTGGTACCTTCGTTTGAAAAGGAAAATAAATAGGTACAAAAAAACCCTTTCAAACAACACTTTTTTTTATTTCATAAGTAAAAAATCAATGTGAAACATTATTAAACCATCACAATCACACATCAGATCTGAGCTGTAATAAACGTATTATAATATATTATGGGTTAAAAACTTTCTACATTGAAGTGAAGTAGTGATCACCATTTGGTTTTTATCTTATTTCATTCTTAATGTTTCTATAATATTATTTATAGTGAAATTTTTTTCTAAAAGTGATACAAACGTAAAGTAAGACAATAGTTTTATTTCACTATTCATACGCCATACCAAAGTTAACTAATATTTAAGAATTGTAAAATCCTTGCTTTATAATTAAAGAATAATTGTTCACGGTCGATGAACTATCACAATCATATCATGAAGTCTGTATTATCTGAGTTTGAAGGTAGTAAAATTTCGAATTTGTCAACTAAGTCTTGGCAGAAGTACCCTATTTTTTTCATTATCCAACGCCTAAATGGTGGTGGTGTAGTAGTTGGCTCGAAGAAAAGAGGCAGAAGATAGAAATCTATATAGATTTGAGAGAACGTTTTTTAAATTTTATAATTTAAAAAAAAAACAGGGATCAAACATGGCATTCAAACCAATTCTCTCTCATAACCATCTCTGCCACTGCCAGTACATATTCTGCAGCTTCTTTTCTTTGTATCCCAGGTTATATTGCTCGTATGTTTGTCATCATACTATTCATCAATCTCTCAGAATTGTGTGGGATTTATGTCTATTGACTATTTAAGTCTTTCCAATAATAAAATAATACAAATATCCATATTTATTACGTCAATGCTGGTTTATAATTCAAATTTGTTTTTATTATATTATTTATTTGTTACTGAGGTACCTACTTTACATTTAAGTGTATCCACCTAGACATCGTTAGACAAAAAAGGGCTTTGGAAATTTCAATATTTATTTCGTTGGCTACAACTGAGAAACACGCGATATAAGGATTTATGAATTAATAAACTGTTCTAAGAGTGTTTTTTTTTTAGTTGTACCTATTTCCACAGTTCCACACTACCAGAGATTGACTGAGGTTTTAATGATTACGTTTGTATATATTATTAATAATATGATCTACCATGCTTATAATACTTATATAGGTACTATTATTATATACTTTTCTTATTATTTAAGTATATAAATAACAATATAATTGTATCACTATTAACAAATACAAATTTACTATAATGATTTTCCAGCGTGATTTTGAATTTCTTAACACATTATTATTTTTGTTACAAAATATTGTTTTTATTTTTTTTTTATAAGAGTACCTAACTATACAATGTAACTTATTATTTACTTGTCACTTACAAAATTACTTTGGATAATGAACTATGGTAGAAATGTCTACCAATGCTTCCTCCGTGTAAAAAATGTAGGAGAAGGAGGTTTAAATTAATAAGTTATGCTTAAAGTTTTAAACTATTATTAAATATGATAAATATTATTCTTAAATAAGTATTGAGTTAATAAAGGTTAGAGTGGGTTCATCTTTTTTAGGGAGAGTTTGCAATTTTTGGGTCCGTTCTCATACACGATAATAGCGGGAAGCCGTGAAATAAATTCAAGCGATAACATGTAAAAAAATGATCTCATAAATATGATGTTTGCAGACGAACGATGATTAACGATCAATTGTGCGTATATCAATAAAACATAATAGTCATGGCTCATAATAAACATTTTATAGAGGTACTTAAGGCCTAGACGTCCTGTTGTTCGAATTTCCATTTTCTTGTTGTGAATGTTGAAATAAAAAGCCATGTGTGACATGCCACGAGCCATAGCTATATTATGACGAAATGTGGTTGTGCGGTTTATCTTTAAACTATAATTTACTTAGAAATGTCCATAATAAATGAAAATTTACTGTACCTGTTACTGTTTTCAAAAACTAATGAACCGATGAAATATGAATATACATGTATTTTAAGAAAACTCAAAACCTAATTTTATCTCACATGGCGATTCAAAATATATGTTGCAGTAATTTTATCATATAAATATTCAAAATAGTGAAATATATATAGGTATTATAAAAGTTTTTTGATTTAGAAACATCTACAATGATTTCATAATTTCATAATTGTGTACAATATTTTAAGGAGATTTTGTTGGGTTAACTTTCAAAATTCAAATGAAAACCTTAACTACTTTTTTTTTAAACAGCTCTCAAGCATAGAGTTTTGCATTAGGTAATTAATGTTGTTCATTCACAAAAATTTATTTTTAAAATGTCTTCACATTGTGTTTGCGAAAAAAAAGTATTGGTTTCCATTTGAATTTCTTGAGTTGACCCCACTAAAATATTGTAAACAATTATTAAAATATCAAATCATAATAGATGTTTCTAAATCAAAACACTTTTGTAATATATATAACCTATGTATTATGTATATTTAACTATATAGAATATTTATATGATAAAATGGCTGTAACACATTTTGAATCACCCCGTAGAACTTTATCGATTTTGTTTCTATTTCGCTTTGATAATTTTGTTCAAGTAATTAAACAAAAATTTAATAAATGAACGAATTTTCTCAAATGAATTACCTATTTAAAGTTGAATTCTGCTGTGGAAAAAATAAAGAAACAACATGTGAAATCATATTTATCGGTGTAAAAAACTGATTGACTTTACGAGTAGGCACATGTAAGTGTAATACAAAAAGTTTCATATAGTATAACAGTATATTATTTTAAACTATTATAGTACAATACCATATACTAGCTGTTTATTGCAAACTGCATACATTTAAAAATGATTAGGTAATATTACATAAGTATAGTTACATTTTCTTAGAAAACTTCTTTTAGCAAGTATAACTAAATTATTATGTACCTACATTTCATAATATACCAAAGAGGTTGTCTAGAAAAACAACGTTGTATAAAATAATATTATTCAAGAGATAAATAATATTTTTAACATTTCCGAAATCCTTAAATAAAACCAATAAATATACCCAAGTTATACGAGTAGGTATATTATTCATTTTGTATTTTAAATGTAAATTATAATACGTTCCAAGTTAACGGAAATGATAGAACCTGTAGTGATTTAAATAATGCAAAAGTTTTTTATTACAGTATTTGAGTATTCTAGTATGGAGTATCTATACTAGGAGACGTATGTTGGTACTGGAGTAGGTACTCAATCATTTTTTATAATACTCATAGTATATTAATACTTCTCATATTTTTAAGTAAGTACTGAATTGTGATTCTAATTTCAATTTAATATTTAAAATCAGTATAATTTCATTATCACAGTCGTGATAGATGGACACCAGTTGCATTAATGTCTATAAGTCGTAACTTACAGGCGCGGATCCAAGAGGGGCTAAAGGACTTTAAAGCTTAAGTTCCTCCCCTTCTTGGATTTTTTATATATTATGTTTATAATAAATACCTAATTTACATACGTCGCAATATTCTTACATTTAAAATATAAATATATACCATTATTAAAATTGTTAACAAATCATATCTGGGTGAGAAAAAATCGATAAATTATGGGTAAATACCTATTATAGTCTACACTACAAATGTTATAAAAGGTTTCGAAATAACGATGAAAATGTAAAAATAAAAATAAAAATAAAAGGCTAGGTTAAGAGTTAATTTACAACGTTTAGGTAATAAAAGTTTAAAGTTTAAAATATTCTCATCCCTTACATAATATTAGCATTTCACGTTTTATTTTTTTACACCAAATGTACTATGGAAGAAAAGAAAATCTAAAAATAAATTTAGCCACTCCGCCTCCTCTAGTTCCTTTAGATGTATATGGCCTTCGTGCCTGGGAATCCGTAGTCGTGCTAGCGTTGTAGGAATTATAGGTGGTTAATGTTGTTATTTATTTATTTTTATCTCTTACTAACTATCAAGAATCGAAGAACATATATGCTATTTGTGGTAATATAATGATAACCTATACTTCTAGAGTGCTGGACGTTGGACATCTATTTCTGTCTAAATTCTGGTGACTTGTTAAGGTGTAACGCGACAACGCGCATTATCTAAAAAATGGTCCTTTCCATGACCACCACAAAAACCCAGCCAATCAGAACACGGCAATAACATCCAAAAGCCGTCGCCGTCACACGACTAAGCGTACACCGGCCACACACAAAATTGCCTTACAATTTATGGACTCATCGGGCGATTTACCAACCACCCTAACGTCCGACGAACTTAACTTAGAAATACTCCGGTAAACTAAAGGCCCTTTTCAAGGCTCACACAGTCATGAACACTCTATTGGTCACTTATTTAAGTACCCATCACCGTCCCAGTCTGGTTCGTCACACG